AAGAGTGGAAGTAATGTTTATAACTTTGGGGTTTTGCTCACAAATGACAGAAGTGTGCCTTCCTTTCTTCCTTTTCTCCTTACCACTGCCCGGTGAGCCATCTTGGACCACCTAGACAAGGGCCACATTTTAGAACAATGGAGCAGCAACAACACGGAACGAGCAAGCGCCGCTGACACCTGGGCACATAACCCGGGAGCCGCCACATCAGCCCTGACCAGCTTATGCCTGCATGTACTGCTGAGTGTGAATGAAACAAAAGAGCCTGTCTTGATGAAACTACTATTTTCTAAGGTATTCGCTATAGTGGCTGAATCGATATCCTCCTGACTCATATAATATAGCCCAGGACCTAGTCTCCTCAGAAAGCCTAGAACAACAGAGCTGTGACCTCCACCCCAGAGACCAGCTGTTTTCTTGAAATAAGAAAAGAGCTGGAGAAGTTGCTTGAAGCAAGTTGCTACAATAGATTGCCAAGAATGGGAAGGGAAATAAGCACCTCTGGCATTCCACCAGCGTAGACACCAGTACATCTGCATTGTTGTTAAATTACTGAACTACCTCCAGGCCAGCTGATGAGCAGCCACTGCCCTGAACAACCCATCCCTCAAACGTTCCCCCTCCCCAGCTATCCTTGCCCCAGACCCAACAATTAAATGGGTAACACCTGGCATAAGAAGGGTCACCAGGACCTCTTCCTGACCTCCAGACATTGATGCAGCAAACCATACCACTTGTTAAATTTTGACTATCATCCCTGGTTATAAATATTTTGAACATCACCTGCCTGGTCTCAACCGACTGAATGGAAATGAAACCCTGAACTCAGTGTGGAAGGCGATGAGGATGACGTGAGTTCTGAAAGGCAGAAGTAGTCACTGACTCCCCACCACCACCTCCTTCTTTCCTCCCCAAAGCCAGGAACACCTGGACCCCACCGAGGCCTGCCCTCACCCATTCAGAATGTCCCACAATCACACCCAGACATTATTGCACTCTTTTATTTACAGAAAACACAGATAAAGCATTTCAATGTTCATTTAGCAAACTGATCCACTCTTTTTCTTTTTGGCACAAAGAAATATCACAGATGGACCCCAAGATCAATCAGAAATCCATAAGATTTATCAGCCATCACTGGTCCAGGGGCAGCCACAAGACTCAGACAGACAGACAGACAGCATCGCCACAGTCTGGAAAAAATAAACAAGGTCCACATTCACCTCACAGTAAAAACCTGCTCACCGACAGGCAAGGGCGGGCAGGAGGGAGCAGTTTCTCTGCTCCAAAGGGGGCAGTGGGCATTGGGGGCTGGATGTGGGATGACGAGGGATAGACACCATTCATAAATTAGAGAGAGGAGGCCTTTTTGTTTTTAACCTCTTACCTTGTAGAAGTAAGACAGTGCAAAAACTACCATACCCTGACCACTCATCCATTCGAAAAGCTTCAGAAGTTGTGTGGTTTGGGGTGTCTCTCCTGTGGGTGCCTGTGTGTGTGTGTGTGCACGTATGTGAATGTGTGAGTGTGGTGCTTGTAAACATTGTCACCATCCACGCAGAGACCCAACATCAGTGTGTCTGAATGGGGTGGAGTGGGGACTGTACCCCACTTCACTCCCCCTCTGCCCCAGTGATTCCTGTCCAAGACATAGTGCAAATTTCAGAGACAAAGGAGGCAGAAGGGAGTGGGGTGGTGGGCAAGGGGCAGGAAGGACACATAGACAGGGTGGGGGAGGAAGGGGGAAATAAGGCAACAGTTAAAAACGGTCCATTTTATCAAAACCGACACCATGTGCCCCTCACCCCCACCCACGGAGCCCGCGTCACGAGAAAGGGCGGAAGTCCCGCTCCTCCACCAGACTGATGGAGGGATTCTTGAGCTCCTCCTCCGAGGTGGCCATCCTGTAGCCCAGCTGCGCCAGCACCCGCTGACAGGCGTTCTGGGCGAAGGCCACGATGTCATAGGAGAGGCGGAAGCGCCACTTCTCGGCAGTGGCCGCCGAGTTGCGCACGGTGCCGTATTTGTGCTTGCCTAAGGTGGGGTCACCCTGCGTGTTGTTCTGGATCCAGCGGGCCACGTGGCTGTCCAAGGGGATCCCCAGGAACCCGTAGATCTCCTCCGTCTTCTTCATGGGGTTCCGGGCCAGGTCCTCGTAGCGCACCAACATGTACTTGCCTTTGAGCCACGGGGGCCTCATGAGGCCGGTGGACACGGAGTTGGAGAAGTCCTCGCACACCGTGGTCAGCTGTGTCACATCCAGGTTGTAGGGTTTCCTCCCGGTGCCGTACCAAAGCCGCCAGAGCCGGTAAGTGTCGCGGAAGGTCTCGCTGCGGGACGCCAGAATGCCCCGCGGGTCCCGGACCAGCTGGATGACCTTGAGGTTTAACCGCGGGTCTTCAACCAGGGCCCGCAGGTCGTTCACCTCGGGCACCCGCACGGTCTTGATGGCCACGTGGCTGCGCTCACGACAGGCCTCGGCGGCCAAGGTCAAGTTCAGCAGGCCGCACTTGCGCACGCAGTCGCCCTCCTCCAGCACCAGGTCGGCGGAGCCGCGAGGGTCGCACACGGGGCGAGAGCACAGCACCCTGCTGGCCCCGCGGCGGAAGATCCTGTCGGTCGTGTGGTTGACCGGCGGCGGCTTGATGTAGTTCTCCAGGAAGTAGAGGTCGCAGTCGTAGAGGCTCCTCAGGAGGTCTCGGCTGGCGCCCAGCATGACGCGCCGGTCCGCGGGGCTCTTGCCCTGGGTGAAGCGCGGGATGAGCGTGTTCTGGACGTGATAGAGGGGCTCAAACAGGTAGAAGACATCCGGGTGCTGGTTGAAGAGCTGGCCCACGAAGGAGGAGCCGCTGCGTGTGGTGGCCAGGACGAGGATGTGGGTCTTGCGAGAGAGGTTGTAGGCGAAGGTGGGGCCCTCTTCGCACAGCCGCTCGGCCAGCCCCGCCTCGGCCAGCCCCGGACAGGTGTGGAAGGACTTGGCGGTGAAGGTGCGGATGGCCGTGTACTGGATGGCAATGGAGGCGAGGGCGAGGAGGAGGACGGCCTTCCAGGAACATTGCATGGCTGGGCACCTTCATGGGGCTGTCTCTCCACCTTGCAAGGTCTGCGGGCAAAGACCGGCAGCGTTCAGGGGGCAGCCTGGCTTGGGTGCCGCACACCGAAGAACGGTGGGTCTACAGGGGGTCCAGGGAAGTGCCCACACTCCCTGCCCAGCGCTCACTCATGCACCAAGGGCCTGAACAGCTTCAATACTACACTTCCCCATCCTCTGGAGGGTCCCAGGGGTTACTTGGGACTGAACAAACTGATTCCCTGTGCCCCATTCTGCAGGGTTGAACGTGCAGAAAGCTGCAGGGGCCTCCCAGCGGGAACTCTCAGTTCTCTAGTGGGGCCCTACTGGGCAACAAACTCCCCCAACTCCCCCATGTAGGGAATGACCAGTTCCTGTCTTCACCCCTGTCACTGCGTGTCACCCCTGCCGGCATCTCCTGGGCCCACCTGCATCTTCTACCACCTCTCCGAGCTGACCAGTTCCCCATGTGGTCATCTTTCCTCCATCCCCTGTTCACTCCCAGGAGGAAGAAGAGTTCATGTCAGATACTTCCTTCCTACCCAAGCCCCATGCAGTAAGGACCCCGACACACTGTGAGTCGGTGGGCTGCCAGCATCCTCTCACCCATGCTTGCTGGGCCAGAAAAGGTGGACACCTGTGTCAAGCACCACCACCCTGCAACTTATGGATGAAGGGGACCGGCTTACTCCAGATGAGGACTACTGGGGCCCCTGGGGTTTCTAAGGGTCAATTGGCCCAGAGCAGAGACGAGTCCAGCGTCTGCTGAGAAGTATCCCTTCCCAGGCCCCACTGTCCTCCAGAAGAGCAAACTGGCCTTCCAGGCCTCCCACCCCAGCTAGTCCTCAAAGCCCCCACCCTTACGCCTTTGGCCCCTTCTGCCCACAAGGTGAGCTCAGGACCCATCTGTACCCAGAAATGGCCCCAGAGAATCAGGAAGGACAGAGAGAGGAGAAAGGGTGGAAGAGAAGGGGGCACCTCAAGGAAAGCATGGGGGTTAAGGAGGGCCCCAGCAGAGCAGGGAAAGGAGCCAACCTGAGCTCCTGAAAGTCCCCCAAGAGAGGCTATCTCAGCTACCAGGCCCCAGAGAAGAGCTGGGGCTGCCCCAAGAGCGAATGCAGGGAGGGCGTCACCACTCACCAAAGAGGGGCTGCTCCGAGAGAGGGAGTCCACAGCTGCCAGTTCTCCTGGTCTGGCCAGCAGTCCCAGCCTATGCAGCAAGCAGCCCCGGGGCCAGCAGGCTGCAGGGAGACAGGGAGAGGAGGGGTTCTGAGGATGAGGTTGGACCCCCAGCACCTCCCTTCCCACCCCTTCGGTCCTGTGTGTCCTGTGCCCCGCTGACTTCCTCCAGGGCTGGGTGAATGCTCTTCCAGCTCTCCTAGATGTATCACTGACCTGTGGCTCCAGATAACCCAGTGTCATCTCTGATACCCTGGATCCAGCCTTCTGAGTCTTGGGCTACATCCCACCCCCTCCCCCCACCTCCCCCCAATCCATACCCTTGCAACAAGCCACAGTCCCTCTGCTCCCACCAGACCCAGTGGGCAGGGAGCTGGCAAGCCTTTACCCCCAGCTGACCAAGATTTGGAGCCCCACACAGGCAAGCACCCCAGTGAGGCAACCCCCACCCATCATCCAAGGATGCTGCAAAGAAATCCACTGGCCACAAACACCCCCAGGCCTAGCTGTCTCTGTTCAGCTCGAGTGACCAACTGACCCAACCAGCCACAACACTCAGCCTCCAACAGTGGGGCAGAGTGTCAGAGTCAAACTTAGCCCAGAAAATTGGGCTGGAGCACAGCTCCAATTTGTTCTGCATTCTAAATCAACAAAATTGGCTGACCTTTCAAAATTCGACTTGTTCAGTGACTCCCCAGGAAGGGTTTAGTGGAAGTCAACAAGGGCAGCGGGCCTCACCCCATACCTCCAGATGGAAATGGCAGCTCAGTCGCAACAGCCCAGATGCTGAAACCCACAAGGAAGGGGACATCCAGGGAGGGAGGTTCGTCTTCCAACCACACTGGAGAAAGGAGACCGGCTACCTGAAACTCAAAGCAAAAGTGGACCAGGGAGCATTCCTGACCTCCATGCTCTCCACAGAGTCTATGTTAAAACAAGATCACAGCATTATTTGGGTTAGCATTTCTTGAGTACTTCCTGAGTGTACGCCCTTTACCTGTATGAGCTCATTTATTCCTCACAAGAACTTTATGTGGAAACCAGTATAAGCTCTAGTTCACAGGTGAGAAAGTTGAGGCACAGAGGTAAAGGAATCTGCCTGAGCTCACATGCCTGGTTTAACCCAGAACCCACGCTCTGTCCCTCTAAGATCTGACTTTCTGTTCCTCCACCTTACTTGTACTTGGTCTTCAAACATGCATTTGATTAATGGTCCCAGCCCATTTGTGAATGGACACGAGAGAGACTGGGCATTAGAAGGGGGCACACGGACGATTGCCAAGACTGAGGGCATGTTCCTTCCCTTTGCTGTCTGGTCTTGTTGATCTATTGGCTCATGGCTGAGGGGGCAAACTCATGCGCTTTGTGAATATTCTTCCCACATCCCACTATTTGGCACGACTTCTTCAGGGGTGGAGCAAGTGGGTCCTCATTTCCCAAACGTGCAGCCCTGTCTGGCTCAGCTGACCCAACTCTCGACACCATGTTATTCCTTACAACCCACTGTGGGAGGTCTGGGTCCTCACTCCCATTGTTCAGATGGAGAAATTGAGGCTCAAAAACTAAGCATACATGCATAAGCAAATAAGAAGTAGCAGAGATTCAAATCCACTGGGTCAGACTCTTAGGCCAGTGCCCTGCCCCTACACCATCCGCTTCGTGGGGAAGAAACAGAGCTGCAGCAGTCTGCTTGCCTTGGGGAGAGGCACAAAGGCTGGGCTGAGACGGCAATGAGCCAGCTGAGGCTCTGGGGCCTAGGAGTCCTGTTCTAACTATGAAATTCCACTTAGTACCTAGAGGGAGCAGTACCGTGTCACCAGGTAGCAGTAAATAGGGGAAGGGCACAGTCTAGATTCTTGGGACTCTCCAATGTGAAGAGAGAAAAAACACAACCCCGATCACACCCTATCCGATCCCTACCTCACCCCATGGCAGCAGAGAATGCTGGGTTGGATGAGGCACTCAGAGAGAATGGCCTCTGTGCATTAACTCTGACTCCCCTGCAAAGTGCAGGCCCACCCTGCTTAAGTACCCCAAAACGAGTGTGAACACCTGGAAAAAACAAGTAGGAAATGCCATCCATAATAGTGCTAGGCAATATCTTTAAGTTATTTAGGGGCCCGTTCTTTAGTTGTGACGCCATCTCATGTGTTTGTACTTCCTTTGTATTTATTCACAAACATCTGTCAGGTATCCAGCACAAGCCAGACACTGTTCTAGACACTACGGGTAAAAGAACACAAAGGAAGGATTATACTTTCTGGGCATTCATGATGTTTGTCCTGGGCATATGTTCCTTTCACGGGCATTAGCTCATCTCGCTCTCATGCCAACCCTGGGACACTGAGGCTGTTATAGCCCCACTTTACAGATGAGGAAGCCGAGGCCCTGCACGTTTAGATAACTTCCCCCAGCGCACACCCCGAGGAAGGGGCAGAGCCGGGGTTCCAGCCCAGGCACTGTGCTGTGGAGTCCACGCTCAAACCCTCCTCCTTCACCCCTGTTTCCTCACATTCCACCCGCTTCGGGCCTCACCAAGAGAGGAACTAGAACCCTCATAGAGATTTCATTTAACGGTAGGATTTCAGTTCCAAAAACCAAACACCCAGGGTTTTCTTTAAAGAGGCACATCCCGAGGGGAGGGGACCGGTTCAGTTTCTTCCCTCCACTCCCCCTCCACACCCCCACTCAGAGAACCTTGAGGCAGTATTGGAAGCTGCCGCCTTTGCCAATGGATCAGAAGTAACTGAAGCATCTCGATGTTATAAACCCTGAGAAAGTGGGATTCAGGTTCACAAGACACAGCTTGGGCACCAACGAGGGGGATGTGTTCAAAAGCCCCATTGCAGGCCATCCCCTGCCCCCTGGGAGGGCAAAGCCAGGGCATGGGAACAGGAAGACGGAGGAAGTCAGGCCCTCCTCGAAATGTCTCCACTCCCCTGCCAGCCTGGCAGAGCAGGGGCCAGGGCCAGCCAAGCTTCCTTGAAATGCTAGAGGCATGTGCCCTGGAAACCAGAGGCTCTGGGGCCAGGTCCCATTGTTCCCAGAGGAGCTTTGGCCACTGCAAGGGACTCCTCAATGCCCTCGTCCTCCGAGCCAGACTGTGAGCCCTCCCTGAGCTTCTAGCAGCTTCTGGCATGGCCGCCCTCCACCTCTGGTTAATTGAAATCCAGGCAAATCCTAGACCCAAAATCTGTAACTTCTGTTGGAAGGCAGGGGAGTTGGTGAACTCCCACTCCCAACGGAAAGCTCAGATTTCGGTGTCATCCACCTTCACAGTAGGGCACAGATTTAGGGCACAGTGGGGAGTGGAAAACAGCTGTACATTGGAGAGCTATAATTTAGAGCTAAGCGCTCAAGCCATGGAACCACACCCACTTAGATGTCGCTTAGCAGCTGTGTGGACTGGTTGATTCAATGTCTCTGAGCCTTAGTTTCCCCACCTGCAAAGTGGGTATAACTATAGTAGTGGTTGTAAGAATTACAGGACTTGCAGCATTGAGTCAATGTCAGGCATAGACCATGGCACAGCCTCATGCTTGGGACACGGGCTCTGGTACCAGGCCCACTGATGGCCAGATTTCTTAATCTCTCTGGGCTTCTGTTTTCTCACCTGCAAGCTGGGGATAACTTAAACAAGGCCACTGTGAGGACTAATTAGTTAATACAGTGCCTGGCATAAAGCACCTAACCAATGTTAAGTTACTATGATCATCATTAAATGTCTTGTTTGCTTTTTGTCTAGGAGAAACGCCTCAGAACACGTGCTCACTGATTCTGGCTGTGAGGCACACACTCATTCTGACCACTGTACCCAGACCTCTGCCAGGCAGGCCTCTGCCCACTGCCCCTTCTCCCTGGCTCCTCTCCCAGCCCCGGCGCTTTCTCATGCTGAGCCTCTGCAATGGCGTGCCTTCTGCCCTCTAGTGGCCGAATCCTTTAGTGCAGCCTCTTAGCCCTGCGTCTCTACTGTGTTCAGAATTCCTGGCTGGTTGGCTGCAGCTTAACGTGAGGATGAAGCCAGCGGGAGGTGATGTTGCAGGATGCAGTGAGGTGTGATGATGACACACCCACCCGGGCTGCGACCTCTGCTTTGTGCACCCCCTCTTCCTCACCCACACACCAAGAAGCAAGCAGCAACAGGCAGTCTCGCCTCATCCCGTGGGCTGCTTCTCCCTGGTCTCCTTCCGCTCTGGTAGGAGAAGAAACACTAAACTGAATGTCACCAGCAGGAGTAGCCCGCAGCCACTGCCATTTCCTGGCTGGGTGACCTTGGACTCACCCCTTAGTCTCTCTGGGCCTTGGTTTTTCAATAGATCCAGCAGCTCTAAGGACCTCCCAGGTCTGACCACAGGGGTTCTCTGATCCCAGGAAGGTCCCATAATCTATTCTTAAGACAGGGCCATACTTGCTGCAGGAAGGGACCCTTTTTTGGGAGCTGGAAGACCCCAGTCATCTTCCAAGAAGATACCAGGACTGGGTATCTGTCCCCCACCTCAGCCTGACCCACAGCTGCCCCAGTGGGGTCCAAGAACCAAGGGGCTCTGCCCTCTGATGAGTTAGCACCACACGGCCCCCAACTTCCACCACCACCCTCCCCATGAAATCCCATGCAACCCAGAGCTGTGGCTTTTTGCCTTTTCTGGGCCACTGACCCCTTAGAGAGATATATTCCCTCTTCCCAGAAAGATCCGTTTGTGCCCACAATTTTACACAGGCAATTAGAAGGCTCCTAGGCCTCCTAAAGCCCACCCATGGGTGCCCCTCGTCTTCCCCAGAGGCTTAAACCTCTTCGTGGGTAGTGCTCTCCCAACCCTAGGATTTTCTTTTCAACTGATCCTATCAGAGAAGTCTCCACAGACGTGTATTTACTAATGTGGAGACATTAACCAAGATACATTAAGTAAAAAAAGCTAGGGCCAGAAAACATGTGTGCAATAGTATACCACCATTTCTAATGTTTAAACAGGGGATGTGTGTGTACGTGTGTATATTTTTTTATATATGAATAAACAACCACTGAAAGAACTTGCACTGAACCAGTAACTGGAGATGCACTGTGTGGGGGGAGCTAGGAGACTGGGGCGGGAGGAAGGTACAGTTTACATGGAGTTTTTTGGTTCACTTTGAGTTCGTTAACTTTTGGGCAGAGTGAAGCCACCCATGCAAGAACTGGAGGACGAATGAAAGGGCGGAGCCTGAAAATCATCACTGGCACCTCACTGTGCCAACTATTCTGTGCCCAGGGCAATGCCAGCCAGCTCTCCCCTCCCCCATTTTCAAGGCACCAGGGTCAAAGTCACTACCTTTCTGCTAGAATGGGGCTGTGTCTGCTCCAGTGGGCCACTGAGGACAGCAGTCCGCTGGAGCAGCTGAGACAGAGCAGCAGCTGAAAAAAAGCACGACCTCAAAGGGGACCTGGGTGTGGGGAGCAGCTCAGGCCTGAGCTGGGAAAATGACTGCCCTCCCAGTTTTTTCTCCCTAAAAACAGTTTGTGAAGCTCAGGGGTGACAGGGAGAACAAAGGGAAAAAAATATCTGAACATCAGATTTCTAACCAGACTCAGGAGTCAGTGTGGAGGGGCCCTAAGGCTCCGGGGTCCCAGGAACTAGACCAAGGGGCAGGGGAACTGGACGGGGGGGAGGAGCTGGCAAACAGGCCTCTGGGACAGACACAGAAAGGAAATGCTTAATCCCTACGTCTGCAGTAGCCAGCGCTGATCCACCATGGAAGTTTGTTTAGTTAAAGCTAAAACACATAAAACAGCAAGGTTTCTTCTGCCTAAGGAAAATGAGGTGATGAAATGAGGCAAGTGGAAAACAAAGACATGAAAGTCTAAAAGAACTAGAAGCCAGGTCAGTGCACAAGA